TTCTGCTAAGTTGCATGAGTATTTGCTATGACAACAGCATCAAAATCCATATCGAGAAAATACGTTTATATTTTGCAAAGAACAAGATTAATCTATTGGCAAGATTTGTTTAAAACAAATAGTGAATAGTTCTCATTTTAAAAATGATAGAATTCCTAAGAAGAATGATGTTTAGTACAATTAAATTTTGTTTTCTGAACATTTCTAAGTATAAATTGTCATTTGTGCATGTGCACATCTTACAGTGAGTGATGAAAATATTTTTGCATTTAAGTGAACTTTTTTTTTGTTAATAAAATGATGCAAACTCACACACTGTTCTCTAGATGTAATTTTTGCCCTCGTCTGTGTTAACTATGGTTGGAATGCTTTGGAGCCAGGCAAAAAATCAAACTTAGAAGCATATTTGGGCATTCCCTTATTGAAGTAGAGGCTTGTCTCTGTGTATGTGTATTTTCACATGTGTAATGTACTTATTTTATTCATCTTGGCCCTTCTTATTTTGAAGCATAAAAATTATAATATAGTATTACATAATTCCTTGGGAATGAGCTGGTCAAATCTACTTTTCCTATTCACTAGCTCCAGCTACTCAGAATAAACAATAATAGTATGGTTTCTATGTCAACTTAAAGCTTGCAAAGTGCTTTATGTGCATTATTCAAGCCTCTCGACAATTACCTGGAGTATGTGCTATAAAGAACATTATCTGCCTTTTACAATTTTGGGAAACCGAGACAATCATTCATTTAATAAGCAACTATTAAATGCTTACTATGGACTATTCATTGGGGATACAAAAACAAAAGCAAAAACAATCCCTGACCTCAAAAAGCTTACAGTCTCGCCAAGGGAGACAACACATATATACAGGAGTAATATACAAAATAGACAAAGTAATTTGGAGGTGAAGGAAGTAGTGGCTGGTGGCATCAGAAAAGGTCCTTATGTAGACAATGGCATTTCATCTGAACCTTGAAGGAAGCTAGGAATTCTGAGAGGCAGAGGTGGCAAGGGAGTACATTCCAGGCATGGAGGACAAAGGAATGAAGGCAAGAGATAGATTGACCTGTATGAGGAGCAGCAAGAAGACCAGTTTGATTGGACCACAGTGTGTTGGAATGGAGTAATGTGCAATAAGGATGGAAAGGTCGAGTGGAGCCTGGTTGTGAAGGGCTTTAAATTCCAAACAAGAGTTTATATTTGATCTTGGAAGTAACAGGCAAATGATGTAGTTCCCTCCCCCAAACAGATACACTTAGTAGTATTTTATTTTTTCCAATTACATGTAAAGAGAGTTTTCAGCATTCACTTTTATAAGATTTTATGTTCCAATTTTTTTCCCTCCCTCCCTTCCCTCCTCCGTCCCCAAGACAGCAATCAATCTAATATAGGCTATATATGTACAGTCATATTAAACATATTTCCACATTAATCATGTTATGAAAGAAGAATCAGCAAAAAAGGGAAAAACCATGGAAAGAAAAAAGGGAAAATAGTATGCTTTGATTTGCATTCAGAAGCCATATTTCCTTCTCTGGATGTGATTAGCATTTTCCATCTTGTGCCTTTTGGAATAGTCTTAGATCATTGCATTACTGAGAAGAGCTAAGTCTATTAAAGCTGATTGTTGCATAATATTGCTGTTACTGTGTTTAATATTCTCTTGGTTTTGCTCACTTTATTCAGCATCAGTTCATGTTTAAGTCTTTCCAGGTTTTTCTGAAATCCATCTGCTCATCCTATCTTATAGAAAAATAGTATTCCGTTACATTCATATACTACAACTTAATCAGCCATTCTCCAACTGATGGGAATCCCTTCCAATTCTAATTCTTTGCTGCAACAAAAAGAGCTGTTATATTTTTTGTACATGTGGGTTCTTTTCCCTTTTTTGTGATCTCTTTGGGATACAGACCTAGTAGTGGTATTGCTGGATCAAAGGGTATGAACAGTTTTATAGCCCTTTGGGCATAATTCCAAATTGCTCTCTAGAATGGTTGGATCAGTTCATAATTCCACCAACAATGCATTAGTATTCCAAGTTTCCCACATCTTCTCCAACAACAAATGATGGAGTTTTTAAAGCAGAGGCTAAGTGACTTTTCTAGCATCATCCAACTAGCAAACAGCAGGTCTTCTTACTGTAACACTCCACCTACTCTGCTTTCCTTAATTTACGGAATTCTGACTTATGAAGAAAGGAGAAATGGTAGTTTAGAATAGTAAGTGGTATGGGCACTAGGCTGGTATCCAGGAATCTGGCTGTGTGTGACCTTGCGCAAATCATTTTGCATTCATAGGCTTCAACCTTCTCATCCATAAAACAAACACGTTTATCTGAGATCCCTCCAAGCCCTGTCTATTTATGAATACCTGATTCAAAGAACATTTAAGTTGGATAGAAACTTAGAGATAATCTGGTCTAATCACCTCATTTTACAGATGAAGAGACTGAGGCTCAAAGAGATTAAATTACCTTCTGGTGTCCTGCATGTACTAAGCCAATATTTAGAGTAACGTTTCTTATTTGTGTGTGTCTGTGTGTGTCATGGACTCCTTTAGTAGTTTGGGGAAGCCCAGGGATCCCTTCCAAGAATAATGTTTTTAAATGCTTTAATATTCCATTGTTCTATATTCCTTCTTTCTACATTATATCCTTTTAGATCAAAGATTCTTTTTTTTAAAGTAATTTATTTATTTTTAGCTTTCAACATTCACTTCCCAAGATTTTGAGTTCCAAATTTTCTCCCCATCTAGTCCCTCCCCCACCTCAAGATGGCATGCATTCTGAATACCCCTTCCCCTAATCTGCCCTCTCTTCTATCCACCCCCCCCCTTTATCCCCTTCCATTTTCCAGTAGGGAAGGATAGATTTCTTTCTCTCTCTCTTTTTTTTTTTTTTGCATTTTTAACATTTTCTCCTTCACTTTCTTTTTTTCTTTAAATTAAATTAAATTATTTATTTATTTTATTAATTTATTTTCATTTATCAATAATCACTTCCATATCCTTTTGAGTTTAAAATTTTTCTCCCCCTTCCTCCCCACTTCCCTCCCCAAGATGGCACAAAATCTGATATAGACTATACATTTACATTCCTATCAAACATATTTTCACATTAGTGATGTTGTAAGTAAAAATTAAAACCAATAGGAGGAACCATCAGAACGAGGAAACAAAACTCAACAGAAGAGAAAAAAAAATAGCAATTCAACTTCCATAGTTCTTTCTTTGGATGTGGATAGCATTTTCCATTATGAGGCCCCTGGAGATGTCTTAGATCCTTGTATTGCTGGGAAGTGTTAAGTTTATCATTATTAGTCATCATACAACATGGCTGTTGATATGTACAATGTTCTCTTGATTCTGCTCACTTCACTCAGCATCAGACCATACAAGTCTTTCCAGGTTTTTCTGAAGTCTGCCTGCTCATCATTTCTTATAGTACAATAGTATTCCGTTACGTTCATATACCGCAACTTGCTCAGCCATTCCCCAGTTGATGGGCATCCTCTCAATTTCCAATTCTTTGCCACCACAAAAAGAGCTGCTATGAATATTTTTGTACATGTGGGTCCTTTTCCTATTTGTATGATCTCTTCTGGGTATAGCCCTAGAAGTGCTATTGCTGGGTCAAAGGGTATGCACATTTTTATAGCCCTTTGGGCATAGTTCCAAATTGCTCTCCAAAATGGTTGGAGCATTTCACAATTCCACCAACAATGCATTAGGGTTCCAATTTTCCCACACCTTCTCCAACATTTATCATTTTTTTTGTTTTGTCATGTTGGCCAATCTGATAGATGTGATGTGGTACCTCAGAGTTGTTTTAATTTGCATTTCTCTAATCAATAATGATTTAGAGCATTTTTTCATATGACTATAGATGGCTTTAATTTCTTCATTTGAGAACTGTCTGTTCATACAGGATAGATTTCTATACCTCATTTCCTGTATATCTTATTTCCCAGTTGCATGTGAAAACACTTTTTTTTAACATTTGTTTTTAAAATTTTGGGCTCCAAATTTCCTCCCTTCCTCCCTCCCCCCCCTCATTGAGAAGGCAAGAAACTTAATAAAGGTTACACATATGTGGTCATGCAAAACACTTCCATAGAAGTCATGGTGTGAAAACTAAGTATATTTCCCCCCATTTATTCTATTCTCTCTTTTCACCCTGTCCCTCCTTAGAAGTGTTTGCTTCTGATTATCCCCTCCCCCAATCTGTCCTCCCCTCTATCATCCCCCTGCTCTATTGTCCCCTTCCCCCCCTATTTTCCTGTAGGGTAAGATAGATTTCCATACCCAATTGAATGTGTGTGTTATTCCCTCCTTAAGCCAAATCCAATGAGAACAAGATTCACTCGTTCCCTCTTACCTTTCCCATTTCCCCGACATTGTAAAAGCCATTTCTTGTCTGTTTTATGTGAGATAATTTACCCCATTCTACTTCTCCCTTTCTCCTTCTCCTAGCATAATCCTCTCTCACCCCTTAATTTTATTCTCCAGATTAGATCAAAGATTCTTAACCAGGGTTCATAAATCTGCAAGAAGTCCATGGATAGATTTCAGGAGGTCTGTGAACTTTGGTGCAAAAAAAAATCAATCTTTATATTCATTAATTCTAAGTGAAATTTGGAATTTTCTTTAATTATGAATTTTTAAAAATTATTTTGAGAAGTCAGCAGGCTTAACCAAATTGTCAAAGAGCTAAATAACACAACAAAGGTTAGAAACCTCTGTTTAAGAGATTATAGGCCCACAGACTTCTATTTAGTGAGACACTGCATAGTAGTTGGTGTGATCCTCACTCCAGGCAGACAGGTGACTGTCTAAGCCATTCAGGACAGATGAGAAGAGCTTAGCCTTGAAAAAACCCACTCATTTAAAAAAGAGGCAACAAACCCCTCCCTGGTTCTGTAAATAGTGAATGTTTAATACACGTTTGTTGAGTTGAAATGAAGTGCTACAATTGATAAACCTATAGACGCATAATATGCAATTTTTTCTGTAACTTTTTATTGGTACAGAGCATACACTTACTGAGGCATTTAACCACTTATAGAGCAGGATTCTTAAATGACTTAACCGTTTGCTTTACCATCCCATTGAAAGAGTTGTATGGGTCCACCAGAGTAACCATTTTTGATAAAGGTCCCATGTGACGATAATTAGGCACCTCCTTACTTTCCCATAAGGTTCTGTAATTAGAAAAAAAAGAGCATTAACAAATATGAAACCACAAATCCTTATGTCTTGAAGCTATTATACACTCATAGATGCTCATATATATTTGAGGAGCTGGGTGATGCAATGGGGAGCACATTGGACAGAGAGTCAGGAGATGTGAGTACTTCTAGCTTGCGCTCGGTCACCTATCCCAACCTGTGCACACAAATCATAGATCTTCGTAGAACATCCCTAACAAGTCGCCATCCAGCCTCTTATTCAAAGACTTTCAGTGATGGAGAGCTCACTATGTCATGGGGCAGCCCATTCTATTTTTAGATATAAGGACAGACACAAAACAGACACGACTGTTAACTGCCTTATAGAACTTTCCACTCTGATACATGAAATATATGTCTTTTTCCATCTGTTTAATCAGTAATGGTCAGGCTTTTCAGACTTGTTTTCCATTAAGACTTACCTTCTAAAAATGCCCCTGCTACTTCTAACTGACCAAGATGACAAATAATAGAAGTTCTGGCCATAGATTCTTGATTCTTAAAGGGGCTAAGCCTTTTCTTTCCCAGTCCTGAAGAACGTAAACAAAATGCATGGTCTCATTTAAACAGAACTTTGCCTGTAGCAACCTCTTCTCCTTTAAGTGTATTTTCTTTGGTTTAGTCATTGCCTTTTTTTCTTCCCGAAATATTAGCAATTCGTTACAGAGACTACACAATAGTCTTTTTATAGTTCAGCTTTGGGAGACTGTAGGTTTATAAATTCTGAGTGGGTAGGGATCTTAGAAGTGATCATACGCAGCCCCCTTATTTTATAGATAAGGAAACTGAGGCCCAGAGAAGAGAAATGATTTGTTCAAAGTCACATAGGGATTAAGGATTAGAGCCAGGATTTGAGCCCAGGTCCTTTGTTTCTGATGCATCTTTTATTAATCTGCCAATTGCTTTTCTTATTCTCCAAGCAGTGGTTCCTTAACAAGATGGTTACAATACCCTGAGTTCTCAAACTCTGTGCCAAAGGAATGCAATCCCTGGTGGGTCATACCAAGCCAGAAAGACTTTGCTTTGAATATGAACGCAGTGAGAAGTAATTGGTTTGTTATAAAAGAGACAGGCTACCTAAGATCAGAGAAACTCTGTATGCTGACTGTAGGGTAAGGAACTTTTGGGCCACAGAAATTTCATAGCTGTCTATTAAATTGTGGTGGCATTACAGGAGACCTTGGTGAAAGGGATGCTTGCTCAGACCAAATCACAGTTCCTCAAAATACTGAGGTACTTTCCTCACAATGACTGTTCAAAGACTCCAATCTCATCCCTATCTCCCTTGTTCTCAGCAAAAATGCCTTCTCTTTTACTAAAGAAACCAAGGCCATCTGGTAAGGAATACTTGACTCCTTGTAGCATGACTTCCATATACAAACACTTAACTGAAAATCCCTAATTACTTGGAAAGCTCCTTTTGTCTTTGGCCCTCTCCTTCTCTCTCTCTCTCTCTCTCTCTCTCTCTCTCTTTGCATTCTCTCTAGGTGACCTCACCAACAATGGGGTCAACTAACAATCATTACAGATGACTCTGAAATCTACATATCCAGCACCATCTCTCTTCTGAGTTTTTCTATCACAAATGTGACGTCTCTTGCACTATCACTACGTCCCATAACATGCCCATTCTCTTCTACCTTCCCTTTATGTATTGTCTCTCCCCATAAAATGTAAGCTTCTTTGAGGCTGGGACTGTCTTTTTGCTTGTGTTTTGTATCCACAACACTTCGCACAGGGCCTGGCATATAGTAGCACTTAATAGATGCTCAGTCAATCTGTCTTTCTGTCTATCTATCTATCTATCTATCTATCTATCTATCTATCTATCTATCTATCTATCTGTCTATCAATCTATCCATCTATCTACCTGTCTGTCTGTCTATCTTTCTCAAACTCTACTTGTCCAAAACAGAACTCATCTTTTACCCTAAACCCAGTGATCTTCCCTACATCTCTGTTTTTGCCAAGGGGACTATCATACAGCTACTTGTGTTTGAAACCTTGGAGTCATCCTCAACTCTTCCCTCTCACAGGCCTCCTATATCGAATAAGTGCTACCTCCTCAACATTTCTTAGATCTGTCTGCTTTGTTCCACTCACATGACCATTACCCTAGTCTGACCATTACCCAACTCCTGTCTAGATTATTGTAGATATTCTAGATTATCTAGATCTTGTAATGACAAGAGCCTTTTAGTTGGCTTCCCAGAATTCACACCCCTCCTTTCCTTCATCCTTCACATCCAATTACTAAGGATATTAGTAAGGCACAGAACTAACCATGTCACTTCCCTGATCTAAAAGCCTTGGTGTCTCCCTAGTGTCTTCAGGATAAAATAAAAAATCTTCTAATTAGTATTTAATGGCTATTTCTGTCTATCTACAACTGATCTTTCTAGGCTGATTATATGTACATTTCTCCCCTTGTACACTCTATTTGATATTGCATATCTTGCCTCCATGCTTCTGTATTCCATGCTTTGACTGCTCTCTCCACTCACCTCCACCTGTTTAATTGCTTAACAAACATTTACTAATTAACCACTACATGCCAGAAACTGTGCTCGGCATTGGGGATATAGTAATAAGAAGAAAACATCCTATGTCCCCAGGGAACTTATATTCTATTGGCGTAGACAACATGCATATATATAAGTAAATACAAATTCTATACAAAATAAACACAAGGTAGTTGAGGGGGCATCTGTGGTAGTTGAGTCAAGATTTGAAGGAAACTATGGGCCCAGAGGTCAACCTGTTCTAAGGCATAGAGATGAGACATGGAAGGGAGTTTGGGAGTGATAACAAGAAATCTAATTTAGTTCTTCCCACCAAAATCCTTGGCATTGTCAAGTGGTACAATAGCTGAAACTGATATGGTTTTCTCAATGGAAATAACCTTAAAGAAGAGGCATTCACATCTACTTTTTTACTGCCCCTTAAGGCCCATGGGATCTTTCCATCTGACTTGCAGCTGAAACTTTTCTAACTTTCCAGTTTTCTCCTCCATTAAAATGTGAGCTCCTTGATAGTCTGGATGGCAGTCCAGAGTAGGATAATGGTCATGTGAGTGGACCAAAGAAGACAGATCTGAGAAATGTTGAGGAGGTAGCACTTATTAGATATAGATGGCGAGAGAGTGAGTGAGAGAGAGAGAGAGAGAGAGAGAGAGAGAGAGAGAGAGAGAGAGAAGAATTGAGTGAAGCTCCTTGTCTCACTTAAGCCTCCCAGTGTTTAGCATAGTGCTTTGTAAACTGTAAAATCTTAATAAGTGCTTCATTCATTCATTGTATGTACTGTGGGCATTCTAGAAAAAGTCTGATAAGATAGGTTGGATTACACAGCATTCTTTAAAGGCTCAGTACGAGTGCTGCCTCTTACACAAAGTCTTTCCTGATTCCTCCAATTATTCGGGATCCCATATTACTTTGCATTTACTTATTTGTGCGTATGTGCTCTCCCACCCCCAGAAGACTATAAGTTTCTTGAGAGTAGGGACTATTTTCATTTTTGCCTTTATACTGCAGAGCCTAGCAAGTGCCTAGCACATAGTAGACACAGCAATAAGAGTAAAAATGGATCAAGCTGAATAGACAGGAGAAAATCAGTGCTTTAGGTTCTTGTGGGCTTAATCCTTAGTTAGAGATAACTTTTTCAGAAAATGAACAAAAACCTGAAGACAAAAACCACTGAATGGCCTTGTAAAAAGAAATAAAGGTTAGCTATATGGTAAAGGGCAGGTGAAATTGACTCTTGAAGGTCAAAGGTCAAAGTTAACTATCTCCTGCATCACAGAAAAGTTGAGACTGCTTAAATTCAATACACTGCTTCTTGATTAGAGAATTCTAACCCAGTGTAAGCAGGATGATTTTCTCCGTTAAACTGTTTTTTCACAGTTCATTAAGTATCATATTTCTGTAAAATACCACTGTTTTTCAACAAGCTTACTGTAAGAAATCAAGAAGTGGATGTTAACAGTTATAAAACTGAGAGTGGACAGCTTGGATAGTCGGATCCAATAGTAACTTTTATCATTCATCTCTTAGGGTTCAATTACACCCAACAAATTATTATTAAATGCCTTCTAGTCGATGTATTGAGTACAGGGAATTAAAAAAAAAATTCTTGTCTTAGGATATGATATAGACACAGATAAGTAAATAGAAGACAATTTGAAGAGGCAAAAATATCAGTAACAATTGGGATGGGAGGAAATAAAGGAAGGTTCTACTGAAAAGATAATACCTAAGCTGAATCTTGAAGGAAGGTAAGGTTTCCAAGAAATGGAACTGAAGAGGGAATATATTTAGGCATGGGTGTACAAATGTACAAAGGCAGGGGGTGGAAAACAGAGTTTGGGAAATAATTCAGCTGGAATTTAGGTTCTATAAAGGAGAATAATGTAAGATAAGGCTGGAAAGAGAAGTTGGGGCCAGATTGTGAAAGGCCTTAAATTCTGGATCTCTGAGTTTATACTTTTGCCTATAGATGATAGGGGGCCACTGAAAGATTTTAATTAAGGGATCAAACCACAGGCAGATTTTTAGCTTAGTGAGATTATTTTGGCAACTTTAAGGAAGATGTATCAGGCAAAGAGAGAACGGAAACAAGTAAATACATTAGGAATTATTACAACAGTCCATATTAGAGATGAGGGCCTGAATAAGGATGGTAATGATATGAGTGGAGGTAAGGGAGAAATGGAAGCAATGTTATGGTGGTAGAATCAGTAAGACTTGGCAATTGATTGTGTGGGGTGATGGAGAAAGGTGAGTCAAAGATAATTCTGAAGTTATGAACCTGCGTGACTTGAAGAATGGTAGTGTCCTCAACAGAAGTTGGAGGAAAGGTGATTTTGGTAGGGAAAGAATATAATTTCCTTTTGGACATACTGAGTTTGAGATGTCAATGGGAACTCCTGGTGGAGATATCCTGCTATCAATTATCAGTAGATGACTAGAGTTAAGGACAGAGATAAGATAAACAGACCAACAGCTAGCTAGCTTCCTAGATAGATATAGATTTAGGTTACATCGATTTGGGAATTATCTACATGAAACAGATAATTGAACATATGAAGCTGGTGAACACAAAGGGAGAGGGTCAAATGAGAATAAGGTTCAGTCTAGACTCTTGAAGACACCATGCTTGGGAGGTGGGAGATAGATGAGGAAATATCGAAGAAAAATGAAAAGAAGTGGTCATAAAAGTAAGAAAAGAGTAGTTTACAAAACCCAAGAGTAAGGAAAATATGCAGGAGGAAAGCCTAATTAATATTCTCAAATTAAAGAGGAGTCAAGGATTTAATAGTTAAGAGTTCTTTGGAAACCTTGGAGAGAACACTTTTAGTAGAGTGGTAGGGTCAGAAGGCAGCATAAGAAGTAAATGTGTAGGTGGTGAGGAAGTAGAGATGAAGAAGAGTAGACAAATCTTTCTAGGAGATTGGCAGTGAAAGGGAGAGGAGTTCCTATACAGGCCAACAGGTTGAGGGGATAGCAGTTAAAGGAGGGTTTTTTTTAAGTATGTGGGAAACCTGGTCATATTTGTAGATGTTAGGGAAGGAAACAAGTAGAAAGAGAAAGCCTGAAGATGACTGAAAAGGAAGAAATGATTCCTGAGACAAAAGCCTGGAGTAAACAAGAGGAGATGAAATAAAGGATGCAACTGAGGGATTAGCTTGACAAGGAAGAGGGCTACCTCTTACTCAGAAGCTGGAGCAAAGGTTAAATGATTTCCCCTTGGCCATAAAGTTAGTATATACTAGAGGCCAGACTGGTTACTAGGCCTTCCTAACTTTCAGGTTGGTTCTTTATCCATGACATCACACTGTCTCTCTATTTAAGAAGAGTAAATTTGTAATGGACCTAGTCAGCACAGTTTTATGACATTCCAATGGCATATCATAACATCAGAGTGGAATTAAAGCAAACAAAGGTCATCCAAGGTTTAGGATTGGCAGGTAGGACTAGAAGGCAAGCGATAGGGTCAAGATTGTGAAAAGTAGAAACTGAGACCAAAAGAAAACAGAAATGATTAAGGGAATGGAAGTCATAGTAAGGATGGTAAGGAAGAATTGGTTCAAGACCAATGGCCCTGAGGGAGAGATGAAAGCAATAAATAAAGTTTATAAACAGAAAATGGAATATTAGAATTTGAGATTATGGAGACAGAACAGGGTAATGGTGTTATGAATTGTTAGGAAAATTTTCCTTATATCTACCTGAAATTTGCTTCTCTGCAACTTTCTTTGCTTTTCAGGCAAAAGATCTCCAGCTCCTTCAACCAATCTTCATATAGGATGATCTCCAGTTCTTTCCCCATTGTTGTCGGTCTTTTTTGGGCATGCTCAGTCCTGCCCATGTCCTCCATGTAACAACCATGGCTGAGCACAGTACTGCAGATATGGTCTGATCAGGGCAAAGGACTTTTTTCTATTTTTGTAGTACAACTCTATGTGTTAAATCAGAACCAAGATGACCCACAAATTTGGAATGTTTGATTTTCAAGATGCCATGAGGATACTTCATTAATGACAAAGACTAGCCATCTTGAGGTTCCACCATGAAGATTCACAGTGGTGAGTCAGAACCACTGAGTATTTTTGTTAGACTTGTTAAATTCCCAGTGGCATAAAGATGGATTATTAAGTACACCAATTACACGCTAGTAAATATTTCTCTTTATGAGAACAAACATAAACTATAGCTTGAAGAGTGGTTTTAATGCTGATTTTGTCCCTTTTTAAAAAAAGTCTTCCTCACATGAAATTAATAAAATATTCAGTTTTGCTTAATTCTCAAAGACTATGCCCAAAACCTATTGCCTGGCAGTTAATTCATCTTTAAGTAAACTCTACAAAAACATAGCTGCACCTTGCGGGTATGGGTGGCATTTGAAGACTTGGATTTAGAGCAAACTGACAGTTCAAACCATAAAACTGAAGATCTTTGTTGTGTTGGGTTTTGCCTTTGCCTTCTGTTCTCTATTGTCTCAACTTTGTCATAACAGGAAAAGCACTGGTTTATCTAAGTTCAGGTACACTTTCAATTCTTCTGAAGCAGAATGATGAAGAGATAGTGGGGCCCCTTAGAAAGCAAGAGCCTTGCTTTTCTTTAACATCGTGGAGCATTTAGTGCCATGCCAAATACATTGGCACCCATGAAGTATTATTAATAAGCTATTTAATACTGAAGTATTAAAAGCTACCAATGTAGGTGGGCTGTCCACTTTCCCCTATTGACAAAGAAAATGAAATAACTATAATGGCTCCCTTGAGCAGAAAAAAGATAACAACACAAAGTATGACTTCACCGTGATTTTCTGAACTGTGCTATCTAGGAAAATATGGTCAAGAAGATAGTTCTAGGTTTTTTGATGGGCACACCACCTGAGACCTTACCTGAACATATCTATAATATGTCCCTAATTGTGCTTCGTTTTTTTAAAGATGGATGGCCCTTTCTAATTTAGATGGCTCCCTGATTCAAAAAAGGGAGAAAATACATCCATTCAGTCATCCCAGGGGGCAAATAGGGCAGGGAAGACGCTCTCCTCATCTACTTCAAAATGAATGTTTATGGACAAAATCATAGAATTTTGAAGTTAGAAGATATCTCAGTGGCCATCTAGTCCAATCTGTACCTGAAAAATAATCCCCTCTACAACATGCCTAATAAATGGTAACCCAGCCTTGGCTCAAAGAACTCCAATATGGGAAAAACCACTACTTCCTACCAGGCCTATTCCATTTCTGGAAAGCTTTATGTGTTAAAATTTTTTTTTCTTCATATCAAACCTAAATTTGCCCTTTGCCATTTGGCCCATGGGGCCAAGCAGAACAAGTATAACCCTTATTTGATGTTGACTAATAATTAAAATACTATATATTTAAGACAGCTATCATTTTCCCCTGTTCCCTTCCCAGGCTTCTCTTGTCCTAGTTAACCATCCCAATTCCTTCCAGTTGATTTACATGTAGGATGAACTCAAGAATCTTCATCATCCTGATTGCCCTCTTCTGTACTAAGTTAATTTGAATTTAAAAATGTCCTACCTGGTATATGGATGTTTTTAGTATCCTCCTATATGATGTTTTATTTAATTTTTTTTGTTAGTCTTAACTTGAAAATACCAACAGACATGAATATTTCCACATACAAAGAGCAAAAAGAGCACTGTATACAAAGCTATCTATTAGGCACATCTTGGTTTTTTAAAGTATATACTAAATTCAGCAAGTTAGATCCAAAGGGGTCCTGCTAATTTGCATTTGCTTCTGAACCTTCTGCTCTACAATGTGCATTTTTAAAATGCTTCACTGACACTCCTTTCTATTCTTATTTTCCTTCTATGTTCATAACACACCACTGGTATTTATTCAGGTTTTCTTATATCAAATACAATATCTCTTTCATATATTGAATATCTAAAGGATTAATGTAAAATTTATGGTCCCGGAAAAATTCTGGCAGTTTTAAATTTGGACCTACTATCACAGTTAATGCTACTTTCTCACAACAGTAGCTATAGGTCTATGCTTTGTTTTGGACAAAAAAAATAGAGAAAGAGATAAAAGATAGATGCATAAGTATATGACATAGGCGGATTGCTAGAGATAAAGAGGTGAATGGATGGATAGATAAATGATAGATGGGTGGATGGAGAGTGGTAGATGGATGGATAGATAGATAGATAGACAGAGAGACAGGCAAAGAGACAGATAATTTTGAGTGATTTGGCACTATGAGCAAGTTAAAGCAAACAACTGAACTTTAAACAGCATAGTTTGTTTTTTCCAATCAGTTATTGATGAGTCATTGTGGACCAGTACCTCTAATACTGGTTTGTGCCTTGGTCACATTTTCAGGATCCATTACAGTTTGGCGTTTCATAGTTTCTTTACCTTATCAAATTCGAACCAGGGGCCAAAATGTCACTAATTTAAACACTTAATGGAAACCCACAGGTCCCAGCCGCACATTCACATTTGCACCCTTACAGTCATTTGAAGGCAGTGCTTCATAAAAATCACTAGTAACTCGACGGCACTTTTCTGTGCTGGCCAAGGAAAGAGCACCAGCAATACCTAAAAGAAAGGTCCTTTTGATAGGTTAATGGCATTCTCCAGGTCCTGTCTGGTCAGAGTAATGACCTATCCCAGATTATACCATTGCATTTATCTGTGAAGAGAGTCATTCTGAATCTATTCGAGACCTGGATTTACATTTTCAGCCATACATTATTTTATTGCCAAGACCAAGGCTTCAAGCAAGTGCTTTCAAATTTGAATCATAATGAGCAATAAAGGGGTTTGTTTCTTTACTGGCAGCTTCAAGCCAAGGATCTTTCAGTAAGCTAGCATCGAACAGCTGCTCTTTTCAATTTGAAAATGTGATGTTTTGATGGTTATTATCTTCAGTAGAATTTTCTGTTTTCTGAGAAATAATGCAATTATTTCAGAAAAAAAGTGATTCACAGACAAATGAAAAATGTACATGGCTTCTAAACAGCATGCATTTATTTAGTTAATGCAGGTACACATGTTGAAATGCAGAACTGCAAGTCTAAGTAGCAAGGTTGAGTCCAAGCTAAAGCAAAGCAAGCTTATTCTTCTTTCCACATACGTCAACTTTTTAAACCCTGATGGGTGAGGACTGGTACTGATCCCTTGGAGTGTGAAAATGAGCCCATCCTTTCTCTTCCATTTTTTTAACCAAAGCAAATTTATTTTTAGTATTTAATTGTTCTTTAATGAAATAACCATAATTAGGATTTTCCTTCTAATGTATCTATCTGAAAAAAATGAATAATAGTCTTTGCACTTACCGCCGAACTGCTGAACTTGTGGCTGGGGTTGTTGGTGGAATATCAGAATTTGCTGGGTGGGTGGCTATGAAATGAACCTTGCCAATATATCCTGGAATATTTGCAGTGCTGAAGAAAAAAGTTAAAAGAGAAAGAAGGGAAAAATTAAGAGAATAAAATATATTAAAAATCATTTTTTAGAGGAGAAGGAAAAAAAATCTATGCCCTATATTTTCCCCTTCTAAATTTGAGGGAATGGGAGTCTTACTGCTGAAACTGGGATGAAGGGCATAAATCTGTGCCATGATCATACACAAAAATTTCAATTTCCTCCTGTTCTGGGGTAAAACACACACACACACACACACACACACACACACACACACACACACACACACACACACCCTGATAATGTTCAAAACATCAATTGAAATTTTCCCTTTTCCTATTATTTAGAATTTGCATACATTTTACAACTATGATTCATTGTCAAGAATGACATTTCATTAGAAGGAAAAACCAGGAACTAGTGGTTTACAAAAATATTAGGCATCAGGTTCACATATAACCTGGCAATGCTGATTTGAATATTTGTCCTCAAAACCACTTATATTTGCATTCGCTTTGTTATTTTTCAAATTATCACCGGGACACTGTATTCTATGTAAGTGATTTTAGATATTCTTGAAAATGTGAACTGTTAATTTTAGTATAGCAACATATGAGTGTATGTCAATATCATTTAATATCCTACCAAAAAAAAAATAAAGAGGAAAGAAGAAAAAGAGAGAAGAGAGGATGAGAAGAGAATAATTAGGGTCTTTCTCATTGTAACTGCTCTATCATAAAAGCTTGTTTAGAGTGAGATTTAATTTTTTTAATGTCTAAAGAAAACAGTCTAAGGAATCATTTCATAACTGGTTCATAGGTTTAAAAAAAAGAAAATTAGGTAGATGAGTTAATATAAGTGTAAAAAACTTACTCTAGATTTTAATTTTGAAAAACAAGATCATTGACTTAAAGCTTGAAAAGGACTGTCTAGATTTTCTAGTTCCAATTCCCTCATTTTATAGATGAGAAAACTGAGATCACTCTTTCTACTACACCACATTGCCATAGATCTCAATTTCTTCCATGTGAGTACTTCCTCTACCAATCTAGCCCAAGGGTAAAAAACACGGAAGCAAAGTGAGTAGGAAATTGAAAAAGTGTATGTAAAGGACATGTTGCAGTGTGAAAAGATAGAGTTCTTAAATGACATATCAGTCAATAGATCAAGAGATGTTGCCATCAACATCTACTAAGTTCCTAGTTTATTACAATAAAACTGAACTAAGGAGAAAAGAATGTAGAGTCTCTCTCTGAGATAGGAAAAGGCAGTATGATGTAGTGGCAATATTTTTAGATTTAGATTTAGAAGGAACCTTAAAGATCTATTTAAACCCTTTCATTTTTGAGATAAGTAAACAGACTATGAAAGACAATGGAATTTACACAAAGTTCCAAAGCTAATTTGAGGCCATGCTAAGATTAGAATCCAGGTGTCTAGGCTAGAATTCTAGTCTGGTGTTCTTTTTACCATGTTGCCCATTATCTAATATTACATGAATACTCCTTTTATCCAACATCACCAAAGAATGAATTGTTCTACATGGATGAGTTTTCCAAATAACTGAAACTTATCCACTTAAAGGGCAAAGATTTTAAAATTTTAATTATCTTTGATGGGACTTCTTATAAAATATATTACAAGGTGGGTACCCATTGTTTGGGAAATGGCTAGACAAATGTGGAGTATGACTGTAATAAAATATTATTTTGTGGTAAGAAATAACATATATGAAGAATTCCTGTGAAGACAAATTAAGCATTATAGAGTAAAGTAAGTAGAAATAGGAATGACAGCATATACAAGGGACACAATATTCTAAAGAAAAAGAATTATAAAAGTAGTACTAGCTTTGAATAACTATAAAGGCCAATTTTGATTATGGAGAATAGATAATGAAACAAAGGTCCCTCCTTTTGGCCAAGAGGTAGAGGACTCTAGATGCAGAATATTACGTATATCATCAGATGTATCAGTTATTTTTATTGAATCATTTTCTTTGTTAGAGGGAATATTCAACGTGAGAGTGGTCAGGGCTAGTCTTCAAAATGACTATCATGTTAAAACAAAAGTCCTCAATGAAACATTTTAAAATTAAAATAAAAATTATTATACTTCCAAATTTTCTGAAACAAAATATACAGGATAATGAATATTATGCAATAATATATTAGTGGCCTCAGGGGCCAGTACACTAAATGAGACCAGACCATTGGGCTTTTGAGGTTTTGTGCCTGTTTTTATTAGTTTTCTGTCTCTTCATTGCAGTCAGACCATCGGCTTTCACTTTATGCTGTTGTCACTGTGTTTGTCTCTAACAGTTCCTTCTCAACCAACTTTCTAATTTAGTGATAATACTCTGCCTTGGATTGGGGAACCAGAAAGTAAAGCTTCTTAAAATTGTGTCTAAAATAAAAGTGAATAGGCTCTGAATGAGATACTTAAGGGGTTCTATTATGTGTAGGTAGATTGCGTGACCCATATTGCAAGGACTTTGTGGTATTAACTCTAGACTTCATGGTATTAACTTTGGTCTTTTCAATATCCACTTTGTCTATCCACAGACCTTTAACAACAACAACTTATCTTGAGACTCAGCCATATCTTAGAACAAATATTCTTAACTCCATTTTATGTCATAGACTCATTTGATAGCCTATGAAGACTGTGGACTCCTTTGCAGAACAATATTTTTAAAGGCATAAAATACATAGGATTACAAAAGAAATTAATTATATTGAAATATAGTTAGAAAAATATTTTTAAAGAACAAGTTCTTGGACTCCAGGTTAAGGACTCTTGTCTTAGAAACTTGAGGATGCATAGAGAGTGACTTCTGGATTAGTAGGATAAAATGCATACCATAGCAGAGTTTTGAGAAGGTAGCAAGGTGGTGAAGTGGGCAAAGTGCTAGATTTGGAGACAGGAAAATCTTAGTTCAAGTTCAGCCTCAGAAACTTACTAGTTGTGTGACCCTGGGTAAGTTACAACTTCTTTCACCTAATTTTTCTTCTCTCTAAAGTGGGAATAATAATAACACCTACCTCACAAGGTTACTGTAAGGATCAATTAATAAGCAGTTATTTAACATCTACTATTTTTCAGGCACTGTGTTAAGCACACAGATAAGCTTTGTAAAGTGCTTTTCAAACCTTAAAATTCTAAATAAATGTTGGATATTATGATTGTACTCATAGTAATATATCTATGAAAAATAAAAATCAACAAATAATCATTGAATAACTCTTGTCATGTGTGAGGCACTGTGCTGTATACTGAAGGAAACATAAAGAAGTAGAAGACAACATCTCTGCCCTTGAGGAGCTTCCAATCTAGTTGGAGAAGTGGGGGCAAGTGAGACTTCCACTGTATTCTGCCACAGATGAAGTCCTGTGATCATTTTGGAAAGCTACATTGTAAGAAGGATATTGATAAGCTAGAGACAATTCAGAGGGGAGTGACCAGGATGGTGAAGGAATTTGAAATCATGCCATACAAACATCTTCAGTCCAAGCAACTGGGGTCATTTAGCCTGGGGCAGAAAATGCTTAGAGGACAGGATCTCTCAAGTACTTGAAGAACTCTCATATGGAAAAGATATGTTCTGTGTCAAAATGGCTAAAATATTGATTTTTGGCAATTGGGAGCAAAAAAATGTTTTAGCAAGTATTAAACTTATCTAGAAACAGACTCAGCTGCCTAAGGAGATAGTAGGTAGACTTGAACTTGAGGTCTCCAAGCAAAGGTTGAATTGACTATTTCTTGGCATGTTATTGAAGGGATTCTTGGCCTGGTATCCTCTGAGGTCCCTCCCAATTTTGATAGTATATGATTCTGGCATCAACATATCTAAAAATTTAAATAACCATGTTTTAAATAATAGTTAGACAAAAGTCATGAATAAGGGAGATGGCTCAAAATAATACATGGTTAATTATTCCTCTTTGCTTTGATCTGCCCTGGGAGTCGAATGGAGTCAGTAGTAGGAATGTAGTAAATTCACGTGGTCAGGCACAATGAAATAAGGAAACCACTTTTGGAGTCTTTAATTCAAAGTATTTGTTTTCATCAACTTTCCTTAATCCTTTTGTGTTTTCTCAGAAAGTGAGAAAAGATTCTATACCACAATGATAAAACTGAGAGAAACAGACACAAGGTTACAAACTTGGCCTGTGCCAAGTTATTTTATGTGGTTCCAACTTCTCATCACCGGGGTCTCTTTCTGTCAGTGTGACGTCTCACTTAGCGATCCTCTCCTCTGGTTCCTCATTACTGCACTATGGCACAGTCAAAATGCAAAGGAGGAGAAATGACCAAAAACCTCAACAAAAGCCAAACAAAGACCCCACCTATGGATTACTCACTGATAGATTCTTTCTATTTAACTCTACGCATACCAAGTCTTGATACAGAATGAAGAGAACTAGATTTGAGGTCAGAGGACCTGGGTTCAATAACCAGCTTTATTACTTAGTGCCAGTGTACCCTTGGACAGTTTACTTCCCCTCTCCGGGCCTCAGTTTCCTCTTCTGTAATGAAGGGAATTGGGCTGGATGATCTTTAACATCCCTTTTTGGCTCTAAATACATGATTCTATGAGAAAAAGCAAGAAAGCATCAGGCATGTTCTCAGGACACGGCAAATAGTTCAGTTTGGTGGGGGTGCGGGATGTCTGAAGAGGGGTGGCTAGAGACGAGGAAAAGATAGATTGCAGGCAAACAGTGAATGTCAATTGAAAGAGTTTGGACATTTTCCGGCAAGCAGTGACTTCCGTGGCTTATGAATAATAGAATGTAAGATTATTGAGAGCAGAGTCTATTTTCACTTTTGTCTTTATTTTCAGTGCCTAGTACTGCTTGTTATGCAATAGACAATAATCAATGATTATTGATGGGGCAACAAGGTGGCGCCTTGGACAGAGGCAAGACTGGACTGGCACCAGGACTGGAGTCAAGAATACCTGAGTTCAAATCCAGCTGCAGACATTAGCTGTGTGACCCCTGGCAAGTTACTTAACCCT